CACGGGTGAAATGCTTCTTTAATGGTGATTCGGCACACAGACTTAGTAGGAAAAGGAATGTTTATTTTATGTATAATTTATGAAGTGAAGTTAATGATATTGTGCAGCCACGCTTCAATGGTGATGGCAAGAACAGAAGTATCTTTATTAAAGTGAATTAGTGATGAATCACCCTCATGCACAAATCATACATCAAAAGTAGCCTAAATTTACCCATAATCCTTGACGAAGAATATACAGTAAAAATAGAAAAGTATGGCAAAAATAGCATATTGTCAATAATTTAGAGACCCCCCCAAAATTTTACAAATCATGTTTTCAGGGCGATGCCTTATTAAGAAGAGCCCAGCCTCCCTGCTCCCCCTTGCTTCCCTGTAGTTTGCACCCGGTTTCTAATCTCAACTATAACTTGGATTCTGTGAAAGGGAGGTAGATTAGTACTCATGATAGAAAATGAAACCACAGCACTGATGCTGCCCGTCACCGTGTTCAACCCATTTGTGCCTGCAAATGGCCAACCGGGTGTGTGTGCGTGTGTGAGGTACTTCTATGTATTTGAGAATTAGAAGTTATAGCAAGATCTGAGGTCTAACAGAAGCAAACTGACTCACTTCCTCCATTAGATTCAATGGCCATTAATAACTAATGGAGAATGGGCCTTCAAGCTAATGTTGTCACCTGCTGTAGGACTAATTATAGTTGTGTGCAGCTTTTATTTATATGGAATATATAGACAAAAGCCTGTCGCATGTGTGTACTGAAAATAATAAAAATCCCTCCATTTTTATTGCTCATTCCAGGGCATTTTCTACCATTTTCGGAAAGACTAAATATAGTTTGATAGAAAATTCATCTCAGAAACTACAAGGAAGATAAAAAAGTATTTGGTATCTCTAAACTCACAACAAGATAAATGTCAAAGAGATGCACAAATATGGAGTGTAAAAAAATTTCATATGGAAAACATTTAGTAAACACATTTGGTTTTGACCAAAGATAAAAGTGTGATTTTTCATGTAATCTAAAAACTTTAAAGTTGTACTGTTAGACACTTGTATGTAGATAGTATGTTGATACCAAATTTCAAGACTACACCAATCACAACAAATGTTGTGACATTTTCCCTTATCATACTAAATGTAGTCTTTGAGCACACAGGGGAGGGGTTAATGTTTAACTGCCCTGCCCTCAAAGGTGGGAGGAGGAAATCTGATTCAAGTGTTGGTTAACACTTTGCTCAGACTGAGGTTAAACCACCGACTGTGTACTACAGCAGGACCTGCTCTGACTCTCCGGGACCCCAGATGATCAGGAATGGGAGGAGATGGATCAGGCTTGGGGCCCCACACTGGACTTTTGGGGGTAAGACACTGACTATCTAGAACATAGTACTGAAGAGTAGTGCTGTTGTGTACTGTACTGTGTCCTGAAATGACACACCTACTGTGATTTGGAGTTCCCCACCAACTGGAATACCCTCCTTGAAGAATCCGAAGCACTTTCAGAGGGAGAAAAGTCTTCATTACAAGTTGTTTTCTTGGAAACCTACTCACCTCTGGATCTTGGCTCTGATTACCAGGACTGCGCCCTGCAGAGCTGATAAGCTAAAGGAAGAAAAACAATACCTGGGAAACCTGAGCTCACCTCTCTGAAACCATGAACGACGAGGCAGAGATAGCAGAAGAGAAAGACTGGGGGGAGCTTGAACCCAACTACCCCATCAAAATCTTCCTGACAGTCCTTTACAGCCTCATCCTGGTGACGGGTATTGTGGGTAATTCAGTCACTATCAGAGTGACACAGGTGCTGAAGCGTAATGGCTACCTGCAGAAGAATGTGACCGACCACATGGTCAGCCTGGCGTGCTCGGACTTGCTGGTGCTCATCATCGGCATGCCGGTGGAGCTCTACAGCGCCATCTGGTTCCCGTTCACGTCAGCTTCAGGCAACGTTTCCTGCAAGATCTACAACTTCTTGTTCGAGGCTTGCAGCTACGCCACCATCCTCAACGTTGCCACGCTTAGCTTTGAGCGCTACGTGGCCATCTGCCACCCGTTTCGCTTCAAAGCCCTGGGCGGGAAACGTACCTCGGGCCTCATCACCTTCGCCTGGCTGGTGTCCGTGCTCGTGGCCCTCCCGTTGCTGTTTGCCACGGGAACTCAGGGGCACATCCCCTTCCGAGCCGACACTCCCGCCCAGAATCTGACCTTCTGTACCAATCTGAGGGAGCGCTGGGTGATGTACCGGAGCAGCATCTTTGTGGCTTTCATCGTCTACATGGTCGTGTTGATCTGCGTGGCCTTCATGTGCCGCGCCATGATCCTCGTGCTTCGGAAGCCTTTAGGATCCGGAACCGAGGATGGGGGCCTCAACGGAATACCACTCAAGAATGCAAGTTCAAAGGTCAAGACAGCCAGGAAGCAGACCATCATTTTTCTTGGTAGGTTGTTGCTTAAATATCTAAAAAAACCTTCCAACTGTGTCTGATCAAAGAGGTTTTAGTGTCCACATGAGACTGGAAATCTCTGAAAAGTGTTAGCAGAAAGCCTTATTTTTTTTACCTCCATGTATGGTTGTGTGTGTGTGTGTGTGTGTGTGTGTGTGTGTGTGTGTGATGTTGTTATATTACCACTGCTGCCCGGGATGTTCAGGTGTGACAGACATCCTCTTCATCTGTTTACACCATCAGTTAAGGCACCCTCCTTTGGAAGTAAGAAAGAGCTTATTTCCAGTGTTATGGCTATTCAAATGATTGATTTCTCACACACACACACACGCACACACACACATACTCACTCACACTGACTTTGTTTAGGGCGTGCTCATAAACTGAAACAGTGCACATAAACCATCTTGTGATGATAACTGTTGCTTGTTTAAGTTTGTTTGTGTGATGTTCAGTCCTCCTGTGCTGTCCAGTCTTCATTTGTGGATATATGAAATACGACAGCATGGGTCCATTGTCGCTAAAAAGGGTGAATATGGTCTGGAATTTATAGATATCACCCTGAGACTTTCCCAGTGAATTACGCCCATTAAGGTTGTTATTTTCTGTATTACAAGTTTAATATGCAAATAAGGAATTGTCTAGTTAAACATGCATTCATTTACATTTCCAGAACAGAAATCTGAATCGGATGAAGCAATTCGTGTTTCATTTTGGATTTTACAGAGGCTCGCTCTTTTAAATTTTTAACAGCCATAAATAAATTCATTTTTGACATGTTTTTAGGAATAAAATGTTACATGAATCAGGCTATGAATGATATATGAACAAACCCCCTCTGTAAAATCCTTCAGAATATAGATAGGATAAGGACTGGAGGGTTTGGTGTATGTGAGTGCTACTGAAGTGGAAGTTTCTGCCTCGAGTTTGAGAGTTTGAAAACTAATTTTAATTCCTCACATTTTGCAAAACAAGGTGAATGAAGTCAAAGAAAATTAACTATATGTCACCATGAAAGTTCTGCAGTTAATGACTGACATTAGGACTAATATTCTTTGAATAACAAGTTTTCTGAAATTTTATATTTAAATATTCAAATGAGAAATTGTCTAATTTGATATGCACTAATGTTCATATATTTCCAGAACAGAAATCTGAACATTTGCCTTTTTTTTCCCACTAGTCTGAAAGAAGATATGTTACAGAAAACAAAATAGCCCGAAATCTCCACCACAAAATAAGACAAAAAAGAGAGAGAAACCTCACAAAAGACCTCACAGAGACAGACTCTCCCTGCAGGCACTCAGGTGTGCAACGGATGCCAAAACCACCAACTGTTGCGCCAAGTCAGATAAAACTTTAATAACAGAATTTGCAGAATAAACAGTGTGAGCACTGGGGTGGACATCCTGAGGACATCAACACCGTCTTGGTCCAGTGGATATCAGCTAGCATTGGACATGAGAAGGGAGGGACTCAGAGATGTTAACAGGTGTTGATGTGCCACACTGCAGACAGGCTGAAATGAAACGAGATAGGAGACACACCAATACATACAGCAGCAGACAAACTCCCCAAAGTCCCTTAGTCATACAGCAGAGCAGTCACAGAGAGTGACCACATGAATAAACAGTGACAGGAAGCAGGACGCGCAGAATCTAAATTCCAGACACTGGAAGAGGAAGCTGATAAACATAAACTCACTGTTATGTATGATGTACAAATGTCTATTAGGAAAGAGAATTTATTTTCCTGTTTACAACCATATAAACAACCTTTAAAGCTGCTCCAATCAATCATTTTTATATCAACAGTGAATGAATCACTGAACGAAAAACAGAATTATCACCAAATTCACCAAAACTCTCAATCAGCTCTGTTTTAGCGTCTTTCAGCTATTTGTTTTGGTTATTTGATGCGACTTTACTGTTTTGGTTCATTCCCACTGCTCTGATCAACCTTTGCAGCTGCAGGCAGCGGTTTTGTGCTCTGTGCGCTACCTGCCCAGCTCCAAACAGCAAACAA